AGCGAGAATGTGCCCCGCGAGAGGGATGGCTTGCTGGCGGATTAAACGGGCGCGATCATACTGCAACATTTGGCAAGCGTGGCGCTCCCGTCTCCAACCCGTAGCTTCGGCCCGAAGAAGCGAAGTTAAAAGATACTAGGAACCATGCAGTATCTTCCGGAAAACGCGTGGCGAAGGTGGCCGTCTGATCGGGGACGCGCTGGTAGCCCGTCGCAGGCCGGCACCCGTCCACATCCCACGCATGCGTTCCCTCGGGGGAACATCAGATCCCTCAGGGGAACGTCAGATGGCGCCTACCGCGCTTCATTTTGCTCTAGCTCTAAAAGCCTCATTTCCTCTGCGGATTATCCCGCTCGTGTGACCGGGACCTTATTCTCTATGAGTCTATCTAATCCCTTTTTAAAGCCATTTATTCTTGTGGTCATCACTACATCCTCTGGCAGAGAATTCCACATTTTAATTAAGCACTCTCTGTGTTGGGTAGTATTTCCTTTTGTCTGTCCTGAACCTACTGCTCATTCGCTTCATTGGATGGCCTCGAGTTCTAGTACTTGGAGAGAGAGGGAAAAAGTTCTTTGTCAACTCTCTTCACCCCATGCATAGTTTTATAAATCTCTGTTGTGTTCCCCTTATTCATCTCTTCTTTCTAAACTTTCTTGTTGGGGAAACTCTGTGCCTAGGCAATCCGAATTCCACACAGAGTTGAATTCTACACCCAATATAAGTTAGGCTGCCCAGGCGAGCCCGATCTCATGAGATCTTGGAAGCTAAGCGGGGCCTACCCTAGCAAGTACTTGGAAGGGAGACCTCCGAGGAACACCAGGGCTGGGAGGCAGAGACAAGCAATAATAAGCTACCTCTCTGAAATAGCTGGGCCCCACTAGGGATCGCCAGAAGTCAGCCATGACTTCCAGACACACACGTACACACACACAATCCAGGGGAAAAACCCAGTATAAGTCAGGCCAACTGAGCAGATGGGCATAATATCAGGTATAATTCTGTAATTTTTTTTAGCTTGAGAAGTTATGTGTTAGTTTGTGCAGGCCGTAGTCAAGAACCAGGAGTTGTGCAGGTCACTGAAATCCTGCCTTCCCACATTCTCGCTTCTGAGATCTTTGGTAGACATTGCTTGTATACTCTAAAAATTGCTTCCTGGACCCAATTTTTCTCCAGGCCAGTTTGGCTGGGGATCCTGGAAGATTTTTTTGTCATTTTCTGGGCATGGAACCAGGGTCACTGGGAGTGGTGGGGAGGTATGTGTGAATTTCCTGCATTGTGTAGGGGGTTGGACTAGATGACCCTTAGAAGTCCCTCCCAACTCTATGGTTCTGTGATTCTGTAAGCCACCTTGGGCACCAAAACTGATTTAGATTTGGATGAAACTCTGGAATGACCCTGAAGAGGACTGGGATTGTGGCAAGTTAACTCTTCCTTTCTGTAACACGGCTGGAGGGTTTTAGAGAAGGCGGAGAGAGACAAACCTGGAATGACCCAAGGTATACAGTAGAAGAGGTGGGGGTCATGGAGTGTTCAGAAACATTTCCTGGACCTGCAGAGTAAGAAGAAAAAGTTTCTATGAGACCTGAGGATATCAGGTTGGAGTCTATAGGTCAGGGTCCCCAATGCAGTGCCCAAGGGCATCAGGGTGACACTTTTTCTATCGCCCACCAAGTGTTTTTAAGAAGTGGGTGAGGCTGGGTGGGGCTTTTGCCTAGCAGGGCTTCTGATTGGCTGTTGGAGACCTCACTTGGCTGTGCATAGTTTGTAGTTGGCTCTGGCTCTTTTGGCAGCCATTTTGGAGTTGTGCCCACCATCCTGTGTCAGAATGCTAAAGGTGCCCACAAGCTTTAAATGGTTGGGCACTTCTGCCATAGATCCCTTCTGGTAATGGGAGTGCTTTGTCTGTCTGTCTGTCTGTCTCTCTCTCTCTCTCTCTCACTCTCTCTCAGAGCCAGGAGCCTTCCCCCTGACTCCAGATAGCTCAGTATTCTAAAAGCACAACATGAAAGACTGGACCACTGCAGAACTGTAACTTCTCTTCCTTTCTGGTCTCTCCCTCACAGGTACCTGCTCTACAACTTCCCAGTCACCTCCGCCATCTTGGGTGTGACCAGCAACTTTGTTTTCCTCAGCGTCCTTGTCCTTTTCAGCTATCTGCAGTGGATCTGGGGCAGTGTGTGGCCCCGAGACTCACTTTCTGTTCAGGTGGGAGACAAGACTTTGGCGGGGGGTGTGGGAGGAGGATGGTGGGGACCGTTGCGTATGAAAATCCCCTATGGTCAGGGTGCCTGACCTGAGGGAGATCTTTGAGTTGTTTCTCAGCACTTCCTCTTTATTGAAACTTCTGTGCCACATGGAACTCGTGAATTCTCAGTTTCTGTCCTGTGTTGAATTTTATTGTCTTAGGGAAGAAAAAGCAAGCTTCTAGTTGTGTTTCTTAAACAAATAATAGCCCAGGACTATGCCACCTATAACAGCCTAAAAAGAAGCCGTAAAGAAACTTAAACTTGAATTTTATTGTCTTAGGGAAGAAAAAGCAAGCTTCTAGTTGTGTTTCTTAAACAAATAATAGCCCAGGACTATGCCACCTATAACAGCCTAAAAAGAAGCCATAAAGAAACTTAAAGAAATAACAATACAACAGCATGGAACAGCAACATGTCAGTGTAAAAAGATTTAAAATCCCCAGAGTAAGAGCAAGTACAAACCTCGGTCAAAATGGAAAGAGGAAAAATAGCCTCCACTGAGTCCCCATCACCACTTAACCATGTGCCTGGCGGGTGGTGGAAGGAGTCTTTTCCCGGTACCTAGTACAATGTAACCTTGTTACCAGGCAAACCGCTGCAAAGAGGAAGTCCTGGAGCCAAGGTGCCACCATCAAAGAGACCCTGCCTCTAGCGGGACTCACAAAGAAACGCAATGAAGAGGTTAAACAGTATCAGATGAAACAAGAGGATGTGTTAATAGTAGGGTTGCCAGCCCCTGGGTGGCATCTGGAGATCTCCCTCTATTTACACTTGGTCTCCAGGTGACCAAGATCAGTTCCCCTGGAGAAAAGAGCAGCTTTGGAGGTTGGGCCCTGTGGCATCATACCCTGCTAAGGTCCCTCCCCCAAACCCCGCCCTCCCCAGGCTCCATCTCCCAAATCTTCAGGTATTTCTCATCCCAGAGCTGGCAACCCTATTTAATAACTAGTATAGACCTGGGAGAATAAAAACACCTGGTGCTTAAAAGCTTGTAAACCCAGTGCCAGGTGAGATTTCTGCAGGCAGGGAGTTCAGGGCACCCCCACCGAGAAGGCCCTGTCGCTGGTGTTCTTGACCATCTAGGCTGTGAAAGTGGTGGAACGCAGAGTGGGGCCTCTAAATCTCTGTCGCCTGGAGATCAGTTGTAATTCTGGGAGGTCTCCAGGCACCACCTAGAGCAGTGGTGGCGAACCTATGGCACGGGTGCCAGAGGTGGCACTCAGAGCCCTCTCTGTGGGCACCCGTGTCATCGCCCCAGCCAGGCCCAGACCATCATTAAAGTGTCGAATTTTCTGCCAAATAATTTGGCATTTGGGATTGCTTTCTTTACTTTCTTTGGATCATCGTAAATTAATGTATGGGTTGTTTTTTCTAAAGTAAAACCTCAGTATTCAGGTTAAATTGCCGTGTTGGCACTTTGCAATAAATAAGTGGGTTTTGGGTGGCAGTTTGGGCACTTGGTCTCTGAAAGGTTCGCTATCATTGACCTAGAGGTTAACAATAAATCTAAGGGACCACAGTGAACAAAGGAGTCCAATAGAACAAACACCGTATAATACTTCAGTACAGATTCAGATTATTGAAACCAGCCCATAACAAACTGTAAAGACAACACACCACAACAGTTAAGTATAATGCTATCTCAGTACAATATGTACTTATTTCACAAGTGTGGTAAAAGTCCCCAGTTGGTACAGAAAGGTCTGAAGATCCTTTGTAACAACAGTTCAAGAAGAGTCCAAGCGGTCAGCGCCCTATTCCGGAGTGGCAGGCACTTCCTAAGTCTTCATCAGGACCGAAAAAAATCATCAATGGAATGGAAGCCTTAAACAGTTCAGCCTGACAGTCCACAGTCACTTATTCAGGAATGCAGCCACTGGTTTGAAATTGACTAGACAGTGCTGTTGGTCTTTACAGTCTGTCATGTACTGGTTTCAATAATTTGAATTTGTATTGAACTATTGCACGGTGTTTGTTCTATTGGACCGCCTAGAGACTGGCAATCCTAGCATGTTGGCACCAGCACAGGTCTGGGCAGTGATGGTAGGCACCCACCATGCCTCTTGCTGCTGCTTCCCATGACCTGCCTTCAGCTGATCTGCTGCATCAGGCGACCCACTTGAGCGATTAACCAGCCGTTTCACAGTGGCCATTGCCAGCCTTGGTGGGCTAAAGGTGCCGCTTGCCATAGAAAAGACCTGGTGCTCCATCTGTAGGCACAGCTGTAATATCACCTCCCCATGCTTGGATGGCTGCTCCTCTCTCAGGAGAGCTTAGCCCCACCCAAGACAGGCTGACTCATCAATCCCTGATTTGATGTTCCATTGACCAGAAATTCCTTATCTGGATCGGGGTGTTGCCCTTTAGTCATCTCCAGGCAAGTGTTCAAAACCTTCACGGTCTTGCTTAACGCTGCTGGGGGAGAAAAAAGGAAGAGAGCGTCAGTTTTCACAACTGAGGCCGAAAGTCTGAGATGGTCTGTGCTGAAAAACCCAAAGAGGGCAGTGAGCAGAAGAAGGCCTACTGTACCCTATGGTCTCTCTGCCGCATTTCTTATCCCATCCTTCCTTCGAAGAGCACAGGAGTAGCATTCATGCCCTGACCTTGATAGCCCAAGCAAGTCCGATCTTGTCAGATCTCGGAAGCCGAGCAGGGTCGACCCTGGCAAGTACTCGAATGGGTGACCTCCTTGAAATACCAGAGGCGGGAGGACAGGGGCAGGCTTTACTCAGCCACCTCTCTGAATATCCTCCAGGCGCCCAGTAGGGGTCAGTCAACGAAGGTCGCCATGACTTCCAGGTACACATGCACACACATATGCACATGTAAAAAAGAAAAGTGTAGCATTCATGGCCCATTTTATCCTTGCAGCAAGGTAAGTTCGGTTGACAGAGTGACTGGCCCAAGTGAGGTTCATGGTGGAGTGGGAATTTGGCCTCGAGTCTCCCCAGGCCTAGTCTGGCACTGTAACCCTTTACAGCACTGTGCCGCTAGTGCTGAGCTACTGCAATGTCACTCTGTCCCTCTTTCTCTCTCCTTTAATTAAAAATACAAGTCCTGCAGCCCCTCCAAATGCTTGTCAGGATATGCTTAACACCAATGTGAACCAGACCATTACCCCTGAAATAAATGATGCACATTGAATATAATTTGCTTAATTGAAACCTAAGCGTCTAGTTTCAGTGGGGACGGCAAGGTGCGTGGTGGCAGGTGGAATTCAGACCAGGCTGTTCACTGCCCATCTTCTGTGCCCTCCTGTAGGTATCTGGAGACGAAGGATCTGGAGGGCAGCGAGAAGACATACGCAGGCGGGTTGTGATCCCCAAAGCAGGTAACGTGGATAGGGGAGCGGAGTCAAGAGGGTGGGGTCGTCTGTAGGGAGGGAGAGTGGATCAAGTACATTTTTGGAGGGTGCCTGTGTGCAAAGCCGGTGATAATCCCACTTTATGTAGTGCTCCCATGTTCTCTGTTTACCCATGGGGGGTGAGTACATGTCAGTACATTCCATCTATGGTGCAGTTCAGAAATTGCTCTAAACCCAGGGTCCCCAGCGTTTTCGAGCCTGTAGGGACCTTTGGAATTATGACAAAGTATGGTGGGTGGAGCCACAAAATGGCCGCCACAGCTTACCTTCAGTCACACAGTGAGGGTCCTTGTGCTGTTTGGTGTAGTGGTTAGGAGCGCAAACTCTGATCTGGGAGAACCGCATTTGATTCCCCACTCCTCCACATGCAGCTGCTGGTGTGACTGTGGGTCAGTCATAAGTTCTTTCAGAGCTGTTCTCTCAAGGGCAGCTCTCCAGAGAGCTCTCTCAGTCCCACCTCCCTCACAGGGTGTCTTGTTCTGGGGAAGGGAAAGGGATTGTAAGCCGCTCTGAGACTCCTTCTGGTAGTGAAGGGCAGGGTATAAATCCAGTCTCTTCTCTCTGTATGAGCAGCTGATGTTTTTTGAAAAATTTGCACAGCTAATCAGAAACCTTGTGGGCAAAGCCTAGCCTTGCCCACTTTCTAAACACACTTGGCAAGCCCCAAGAAATGTGTCAGCAAGCACTGTGGCACCCACAGGTACCATGTCGGGGACCCCTACAAATCAGTATTCAAGTAATCTAAACTATAACTTGGCCTGATTGGCCGTGGCAAGCCAGAACTGGAAACCACTATTGAGAGTGGGCTCACTAACCATCGTTGGTGCTAAGAGTGGTTTGCTGTGATTCCTGACTTGACAAACCAGAGTTAGGTCTGCTATTCTGCCTCCAGCAGCCACTTGCACCCAGAGGCCAGGGCCTTCTGAGCATATGGAGACCCGAAACAGACTAGCAGCTCTTAAACCATGGTTTGCCGCTTGATTTCAGCTTCCACCTCACACCATGGTTAAGAGCATAAGATGAGCCTTGCTGGAGCAGATCAGAGGTCTATCTAGTCCAGCATCCCGGTGCTACAACAAGGGCTAACCAAATTGTTTAGGCATTTACATCCTGCTGGTGGTTCAAAGTGGCTTACAAAAAAAAAATCAGACAAAAAAAATATGCTTAGCTTGACTCCAACATTGGTTTTGGACCCATCTCCCTTGGGGCTGCGGGTTATAAGCCCTTTTGCTTTTGCCATGTGGTCCATGCCAAAGGGTCATGTCTCTTGGAAGCCCCCAAGCAGGGAATGGAGACAGCTCTTCCCCTGAACAGGCATGGAATGGAGAGACTGAATGGCCCTGGAGCAAGGCAGGCTGAGTGGCCCCTGCAGCGCTCAGCAAAGCTGCTGGGACTCGGGTCCACTTGCTCCTGGCTGCCCAGGAGTCCTCAGGGTGGAGTCACACGGGAAACATTCCATGTGAGTTAAATAGCCAGCCTGCCTCTGCCCCTGAACAAGCCTTCTGTTACATTTTTATCTCGCCAAGGAACTCAGGTCAGCTTGCCCAGATGAGGATCTGAACCCAGGACTCCACGATCTTAGTTCAGCGCTCTTAACTACTACACCACTCTGGTTCTTATTATGGAGGCTTCCCAGAGCCAGCGTGGCTAATAGCCATGATTAGTCCTTTCCTGCTCAATTTAAGCTGAAGGCCACAAGTGTGTCTTGGGGCTCCGGATTCTATCAGGTGATCATGTATTGTGCAAAGAAGGGCATGGTTTTGCAGTGTGAACTAAGCTGACGTTAAGAAGCTGGAACATGAGACAAATGGTGCATATGCCAGTTTACCTCGTCATCAGCCACTCTCTCTCTCTCTCACACCCCTCCCACTGGTTCTGCAGGCCTTGAGGAGGCAGAGGACGTTCCCTCGGCACAGCCTGAAGACGTAGGGGCTGCTGAAGGCACAGAGCTGTCTGGAGCAGGTATGAGCCTTTATTTCGGTGGAACTTCAGTGGATCTCGGACCTCTTAGGGACACAAGTCAGCAGTGGGCTTGAACTGGAAGTCCGTCTTATTCAGCGTCCTTTTTCCCAAGGGCCTGTCCAGGTGCCCCAAAGAAGCTTGGCTGTGCATGAGAGAGAATACCGTTCAAGGCTGTGTGGTTTTTAAAATCCACGGGGTTAGGTTTGGGAAGGATTTAAGAGCCGGTGGTTGTCAGGAGTGAGAGTTTGCCCTGGAGCAGTCTGGCCATCTGGGTGGGCACCTCTGCCAAGGGCCTTGGCACCTCTGGGGGGGGGGGATGGATTCCACCATGAAATAGTTTCCAAACTTGGGGCGTAACTCGATGCAATGGCGGACAGCCCCAGTTGCATAATAAAGGGATGGAGATCTACTTTTTGCGCACAGGAGCATGCCGCTGTGGGGAGCGACAGCTGCTTCGCCCTCCTTACATATGGCTGCGCCATCAAGCCGCAGGATACTTCCGATACCCCCAGCCAGATGGTGCCCTTAATGATCTGGAAACACCTGGTGCTGTGCTGGTGCCGGAGTGGGAGGGGGAGTGGTCCTGTTCCATCCCTTAGAATGGAGGCCGCTAGAAGCCCCAGGGTGGGCGAGGGAAACAACAACTCTTTTTTTCAAGCTTCAGAAGTCACAGTTGTTTATGCATTCCTTGTAAGAGAATATTCTGATGTTCCGTACTGCACTGCTAATACTTTTGTTCTGCCCTTCCTTCAAGGAATTCAGGCAGTGAAATAGTTCTCCCCTGTTCCCATGTTACATCTATCAAGTAGGTTTCATTGAGGGAGTGATTGGCCTATGTGAGCTTCATGGCACTAAAACAGAAGGTTAAAATTCTGCGTCACCTGCATCATTTATTCGGAGTCGAGGGTTTTCCTGGTGCAGAACTGGTATCACTCCTGTTACTTTTGCATAATTCTACAATTCTGTTGCTCTTTGGCTTAATTCATTCTGGTATGGTTAGCCAATGAGGGAGGAGCCAGGCCACTGAATCCCCACCAAGTACTGGGCCACATTCACCTCTCTGGCTTCCATGATTGCAGGAGACACTTACAGTCTCTGAGAATCATTTTCTCAACCACAAGGCCTCAAAACTTCCTTGGAAGGGGGAGAGACTATGAGTTGAATTTTGCATGTGCTGCTGCCTTTTTACTTCTGCTGAATCTCCAAATACATTCTTGGGGGTTTTGAGAGCCAGTTTGGTGTAGTGGTCAGGAGCACGGACTCTAATCTCGGAGAACCAGGTTTGATTCCCCACGCCTTCACGTGCAGCTGCTGGTGTGACCCTGGGTCAATCATAAGTTCTTTCAGAGCTGTTCTCTCAGGAGCAGGTCTCGAAAGAGCTCTCTCAGCCCCACCTACCTCACTGGGTGTCTGTTGTGGGGAGGGGAAGGGAAAGGAGATTGTAAATTGCTTTGAGACTCCTTCGGGTAGTGAAGGGCGGGGTATAAATCCAGTCTCTTCTTTTTTTAAGTGGAACAGTTAAAACTGTCAATGGAACTTTATGCACGTGGCCCACACAGAGGTGGGCTCCTTGTCCTGACCCCTCCTTCTGACTCTTGATTACTCTTGATTTTACACAGTCGCTATGATGCAGGCCAAGAAGTGCAAACCTGGAGAACCTGATTCTGGATCAGAAGCCAGCTTAGGTAAAGGTGGGGTTGGGTAATGGTGGCTGCACCTCTGTGACCTCTGTGTAAAAGCCCCCCACCCTGTCATAGATCCATACCTATAGAGAGAGAACACAATGCCTTCCAGAGCTGTAGTCAACTTTTCCTTGCTAGGTGGGGCAGCAACATTCCTTATAGGTTATCAAAGAAATGGAATAATCAGTTGTTTTCTCATAATTCGTATTTATTTTTTGAAGCTTTTGCCGCCTTATAATGGACGTCTTTAAGTATCTGAAGGGCTGTCACTTAGAGGAGGGCAGGGAGCTGTTCCTGTTGGCAGCAGAGGACAGGACTTGCAAGAATGGGTTTAAATTACAGGTGGAAAGATACCAGCTGGATATTAGTTTTTTTTACAGTAAGAGTAGTTCAGCAGTGGAATCAGCTGCCTAGGGAGGTGGTGAGCTCCTCCACACTGGCAGTCTTGAAGCAGCGGCTGGACAAATGCTTGTCAGGAGTGCTTTAGGCTGTTCCTGCATTGAGTAGGGGGTTAGACTAGATGGCCTCTGTGGATATCCCAATTCTGTGAGTCTTCCTTAAGCTGCCCCTTGGCTCCCTTAGGCACTCTGCAGATCATTTAATTATTTTATTTTATGCCCCATCTTCCTTCCCAGTGGGGACCCAGGGTTGTTTGCATTGCTCTCCTCTGTATTATCCTCACAACAACCCTGTGAGGTAGCCTAGTTTGACACTAACCATTCCAATACACTGCCTCCTAAGCAAAAGTATGATGGTGATCTTAAAAAATTTGCCTTGAGCCAGGGGGAATTGTGGCTTGGCAGAAGTGGATGGGGATGGTTTTTGGAGTGCTATCACCGCCAGCCCCCGCTCCTGTTTTTTTTTTAACCAGATGCTTTTCCGTTCTAAATATCTCCCAATTTTTAGTTGGATCCTGTCATGTCACAAACATCCAATGATCCAGGTGTGTGGTATTGCAGATATTTGGAGTACTTGATAACCCCCCCCCCCCCCCCCCGGTTCTATGCTCCTAATGGCTTGACTGCTATCTAAGCATCTCTGGTCCTTTTGTTTCTGGAGCGAGAACTATGGAAGGTATTCCTCATTGCAACGAGTCATGTCATCATCTTCAGAAGAAGATCTGTTCTTTACTAACTGTAGTGACTGGACGTCACCAGATGAATGATTGAGGAGGGACTGGCTCAGTGGTAGAGCCTCTGCTTTGCACGCACAAGGTCCCAGGTGCAATCCCTGGCATCTCCAGTTAAAAGGACCAGGCAGTAGGTGACATGAAAGTCCCCTGCCTGAGACCCTGGAGAGATGCTGCCGGAGTCTTGAGTAGACAGTACTGACATTGGTGGACCAATGGGTCTGCTTCAGCATAAGGTAGCTTTCTGGGTATTTATGTGTCCGTGTGGTTTGCTTTGCATTATCTCATGAAAGTTTTTTTAAAAGGCCCAAGCCTTGATACTAAACATGAAAGAGGGTTAAGCTATTAATACCAATTAATTTTAATTACACCTTTTCATCCTCCTCCTGTGTATAATCACTAAAGTCTAGTGAACACCTAGCAAAAATACAGGGTAAGATTGCAAAAGGCACATATAGATTTACCTGATGGTATCTCCAAAAGAGAGGTCATATCATACAAAACCATCTTCCCAACAGAATGTGAAACTTAATCCAGCAAGATTTACTGGCTCGGTGCTCTGTAGATCAAATGATTCAGAATAATTTCGGTAAATTCCCAGGCAATGGTTAATTTATAGATTTTTTTGTCTATAACCTTAGAACGCACATGATGTAGACACACTGTGTTTGTCATGGCTTGAGGGTGATAAACTTATTATTAAAAAAACTGTACCCTGCCTTTCCACTTTAAAAGAGCAAGGGGGGGGGAATTCCCAGAGTAGCTTTCAAACTTAAAATTAAAATTTTAAGGAATCGTTTGAAAACGACAAAGCAAAATTAGCAATGCCAGTTCCTGCAGCAATCCAGAGGTTATAAAGCTTCAAAAGGTGATGATTATTTAAATGCACAGGCCTCTCCTGTAATGATGGCACCCCGGCAGATCTCCCTGCAGAAGGAGTTCAAAACATAAGAACAAGAGAAGCCAATCTTGGATCAGGCCAATGGCCCATATAGTCCAACACTCTGTCACACAGTGGCCAAAAATACCAGGTGCCATCAGGAGGTCCAGCAGTGGGGCAGGACACTAGAAGCCCTCCCACTGTTGCCCCCCCCCCCAAGCACCAAGAAGACAGGGCATCACTTGCCCCAGACCCAAGAGTTCCATCTATGCCTTGTGGCTAATAGCCACTGATGGACTTCTCCTCCATATGTTTATCTAATTCCCTCTTGAAGCAGTCCATGCTTGTAGCCGCCACCACCTCCTGTGGCAGTGAATTCCATGTGTTAATCACTCTTTGGGTGAAGAAGTACTTCCTTTTGTCTGTTCTAACCCGACTGCTCAGCAATTCCATTGAGTGCCCACGAGTTCTTGTATTGTGAGAAAGGGAGAAAAGTTCTTCTTTCTCTACCTGCTCCCATGCAGGTAGGTTGTGGAATGTTTTAAACATAGTCCAGGCCATTGTCATCTGCAGCAAGTACAGACCTGGGATGTGACTCCACAGGAGCAGTGCTCTTTCTGCACTGGTTACTTTAACCTGCATGGTTATTTGATAAAAGGCACCAGAAGGATCATTTTAGTTCTTAGTCCTTCAAGACTCCCTCATCCCAGCTTCTTGCCAGGTTCAGTTCAAGCCAGATGCCAAGTTTAATGTATAAAGTCCCTAAGCAAATACTTCCCCATCCATGCCAGCCATTTCAGTCTCAAACTGCTGTCCTTGATTTAGTTCACAGTTTCAGTTACTCTACTGCCCTCTCACTGCATTCCTGAGTTTTCCCCTTTGTCTGAAAACAGATGAGACCATTTGACTTGGGGAGATTTTTTTAAACATAAATGAAATTGCAGTGTCACATCGACCACACCAGACAAAATGCTCTTGAGGCTTCTTTGCGGTACTATTCTTTTAAATGTCCCTTTACTCTGTTGCTAGCTTATCTCCTATCATGTTGTCCTGAATCAACTGTTGGGGGGGGGGATTTTGTACTGCTTTTCACTTTGCTGCCAAAACAACTGTTCTGATTCCTTTATAGCATTCTTGTGGAATTACAATAGTAAACAAAATTAAATACAGTAGTGTTGTAAGGTGAAAAGTAATACGTAGGTCTTCCCCTCTCCTTAAAAAAGGACTGATAAGGGGAGGGCTCTTCTCAACCTGCCGTCTGTTGCATAGAAGAAGAATCTGTGTATGCGTGTAAATGGCCATCACGTCACTTCCGACTCATGGGGACCCTGTGAATCACTGACCTCCAAAATGCCCTGTCATTAACAGCCTGGCTCCGCTCTTGCAAGCGGAGGGCCCTTGTAGCTTCCTTGACTGAGTCCCTCCATCCCATGCTGGGTCTTCCTCTCTTCCTGTTGCCTTCAACTTTCCCTGGCATTGCTGTCTCTTCCAGTGACTCTCGTCTTCTCAGAATGTGACCAAAGTACCATAGCCTCCGTTTGGTCATTTTAACTTCTAGGGGAGAGTTCAGGCTTGGTTTGGTCTCGAAATTGCTTATTTGTCTTTGTGGCAGTCCTCGAGAAGAAGAATCTGTTTCAAAAGGTACTGTACAGAACACGTTTCTCCTTGTTTTTCTGTAGAGACAGATTTTGAGTCTGTGGACAATTCGTCGCTGCTCACAGAGGCCAACTTCCCAGCTGCTTCCCAGGAGAGGGATCCCTCAAGCCTGCTGCCGTCAGAAGGAAGGGCCCCTTCGCCGGGGGCAGAAATCCGCCAGAGAACTGTTTGCTCCAGTTCCTGAGAGGTCCTGGTTGCTCAACCTCCCTCCCCTTGGTATTTGCACTTCTAATAGCATACGCCCTGCACAGGCCTTGCTTGCCCCAGGGAAGCTGCGGCTCCCAGCTTGTGTTTACATTCCAGCCGTTTTTTTCCCTTAATGCCCGGAGACACTGTAACTTAATAAAATTTATCTGCTAACGGTTAAGGTGAACCGGTGTGTACTGAGTGGGTGGGTCAGGGGAAGGTAGGGGAGGGGCTGTAGGTTGGAGGAAGAGCCTCTGCTTTGCATGCAGAAGGTCCTGGGTTCAATCCCCAGCATCCCCTGTTAAAAGGACCAGGCAGTAGGTGATGTGAAAGACCTCCACCTGAGACCCTGGAGAGCAGTTGCCAGCCAGTCTGAGTAAGCAGGGGTATCAAACATAAGGCCCCGGGGGCCAGAACCGGCCCGTTCAGGGCTCTTACCCGGCCCGCAAGCAACTGGTACATATGGAAATGTAATGTACTCCCCCTTTTGTGGTATCCATTGGAAAAAAATCTAGTCTTCCATGTGATTACATACATTTATTGGGGCTTTTGTGGGTTCCCCAGTAAATCAACTGCTTTTGTTTGTATTTTGAAGAAGAGAAGAAGAGATTGGATTTATACCTCGCCCTTCACTTGGAGTCTCAGAGCAGCTTACAGACTCCTTTCCCTTCCCCTCCCCACAACAGACACCCTGTGAGGTAGGTGGGGCTGAGAGAGCTCTTTCAAGAACTGCCCTTTCAAGGACAGCTCTTGTCAGAACTATGGCTTGCCCAAGGTCATCCAGCAGCTGCAAGTGGAGGAGTGGGGAATCAAACCTGGTTCTCCCAGATTAGAGTCCGCACACTTAACCACAACACCGAACTGAGTTAAAAACAATATTGTTAGAAGAAGAAGAGTTTGGATTTATACCCCGCCCTTCACTACCCAAAGGTGTCTCAGAGCGGCTTACAAACTCCTTTCACTTCCCCTCCCTACAACAGACACCCTGTGAGGTAGGTGGGGCTGAGAGAGCTCTTTCAAGAACTGCCCTTTCAAGGACAGCTCTTGTCAGAACTATGGCTTGCCCAAGGTCATCCAGCCAGGTGCAAGTGGAGGAGTGGGGAATCAAACCCGGTTCTCCCAGATTAGAGTCCGCACACTCAACCACTACACCAAACTGGGTTTGCTTGTGTCCTTTATAAAGTTTATGTCTCTGGTACCTGGCATTGCATTTTATGGCACACATGGCCCAGCCCAATACATTTATGTCAGATCCGTAACAAATGTTTGACACCTCTGGAGTAGAGAATACTGACCTCAATGGACCAGTGGTCTGATTCGGTAGAAGGTAGCTTCATGCGTATGCAAGGTGTGCTTGCTGCAGATGAAAATTGCACGGACTGTGTTTAAAAAAGTTCTGCAACCTACCTGCCTTAGGGACATTATCTATTTCCTCATTTAACACAAAACTACTTTGAGAATATACAAAATATTGCCCGCACATTATGTGGTTTATGAGTCATGAAGACTAGAAACTTCCATTTTAAAACATGAAAGCAGAGGTTTTTTTAAGATGGTGATATGAAGCTACCTTATATCAAGTTGGCTACTGGCCTGTCTGGCGCAGTGTTGTCTCCTCTGATTGGCCAGTGGTTCTCTGGCATCTCAAGCAGAGGCGTATCCTCCCTCCCCAACAGCTGCTAACAGATCCTGTAACTGGTGATACTGGAAACTGAGCAGAGGATCTCCTGTGCAGGTGTGTTGCAATTCTGTGGGACTGCAACCAGTATGAAATGTGGTGTTTGGGCATGGAATTTAGTTTCCTGGAGAAAATCTGTGTGTGTTTTTTTTCATTTAGTGAAGCAAGTTTAGTGTTTAAGATTGAGAGCACATGCTTGAAAGAGGTGTAGGTGATGGCTCTGAAGCCAAAGCTGTCCGAATAAATATTTCAGATGGTGTGAGGAGAGCAAAGGGGCCAGTTATCCTCCATTGTGCGCCACAGAAAACATATGTAGATGCAGCCAGTGTGTATAGCTTTGCGCACTGTATCAACAAGAGCACAGTGTCCAGATCACATGATGGCACTGCTTTACCCTGCTCTAGTTAGACCTCACCTAGATGGAGCATTGTGTTCAGTTCTGGGCACCACAATTTAAGACGGATATAGACAAACTGGAACATGTCCAAAGGAGGGCAGTGAAGATGGTGAGGGGTCTGGAGACCAAGCCCTGTGAGGAAAGGTTGGAGGAGCTGGGTATGTTTAGCCTGGAGAGGAGACGACTGAGAGGTGACATGGTAACCATCTTCAAGTACTTGAAGGGCTTCCTTGGGAGGTGGTGGGCTCTCCTTCTTTGGAGGTTTTCAAGCAGAGGCTAGATGGCCATCTGACAGCAATGCTGATTCTGTGAACTTAGGCAGATCATGAGAGGGAGGGGCAGGAAGGGTTGCATCAGTGCTTGGTTCTTGTGGCCCTTTCTTACACACCCAGGGAAATCCTGATCGCCACTTGGGGTCAGGAAGCAATTTTTCTCCAGGCCAGTTTGCCCGGGGATCTTGGAGGGTTTTTTGTCATCTTGGAACAGGGGTCTCTGGGGGTGAGGGGTGGTATTTGTGAATTTCCTGCATCGTGCTGGGGTTGGACTAGATGAACCTGGAGGTCCCTTCCAACTCTATGATTCTGTGATTCTGAACACTGTCTTCATGCACAGTTTTAACCCTTGGGGGCGTTTTTAATTTTGTTTTTGGCATTTGAGAGGCCTATGTTTTGGTGGCAAAGCACCTGCTTTGCTCGCAGAAGGTCCTAGGATCAGTTCCTGGTATTTCCTGTTCTCTGGCAGCAGATATGGGGGGGGGGGAGAAGTGTTTCTACACCTGACTCCCTGGAGAGCCACTGTTTATGGCAACTTCAACTGCAGACAGGCTTCGCCCAGCCCTGGTGGTGTCTGTTCTGTTTCTTGGCTGCCTGCTGCTTTCTGGATTAATAGGATTTTTTTTCTGAGCAGTCCAGAGGGTCCCACCCAATTGGATTCTTGTCAATTTGGCTTGGGGGAAAGATCAGGGTCCCTCCCTGCTGGGAAGGGGGGGGGAGGTGTCTGCATTCCACAGGTGGCTAGTAACCATCGGGTCGGATTCCAAGCTGGTGGTGGTTGTAACCCCATTGCTCCACGCCCTGCGGTGAGGAAGTCTGCGCCTCCTTCGATGGCTGGACACAGCGGGCAGTGCTCCATTCCAGCGATGATGTATGTGGATCATGTGTCTTTCCGGAACTGGCAGGATGCTTCATTGGTATGCTAAAAGTCTGTGATGGAATGTGGATGAAATGCGTTGCTAGAACACGAAAATGCTCTCAGCAGTACCTGCCCCTGCTTGTTGCTTTGGAAACCTTGGGGGGGGGGTGGAGATCAGAGAGGGGGGACGTAATTTAACACTTGCACTTTAGGGAACTAAGTTTTTGAAATGCTTAATAGGCAGCTTGTGTCTTCAAAAAAAAACCCAAACACAAAGCAGGGATAATAAGAGCGTAATAGTTGTAGTTGAAAAGACGAAGGATTCTAGCCTTTTTGCCAGCCACGACCAGCAAGGTGCTTCGGGGAACATTATAAGTGGGGCATGAAGGCTGCAGCCTTCCCCTGTTTCTTGTCCTTAGTATTTCTTTACTTCAAAGGTAGAGCTGCCTGTGAACATGGAGGCTTTAGTACAGATAATTGCATTGCTACTGCCCATCGGTTTCATCAGATGCCCTCAGAGTTCTAGTATTTTGGGAGAGGGGGGGAAGAAGTTCTCTTTGTCAACTCTCTCTACCCCCCATGCATACTTTTGTAAACCTCTATCATGTCCCCCCTTAGTCGTCTCTTTTCCATACTGAAGAGTCCCAGACTCTTCAGCCTTTCCTTCATAGGGAAGGTGTTTCAACGTCCTACTCATCTTGGTTTCCCTCCTCTGTACTTTTCCCCAGCCCTGCAGTGTCCTTTTTGAGATATGGTAACTAGAATTGTTCCCTGCATCTGCTTACCCTTTAGTTGATGACTGGCAAGTCAGTCTTCCCGTTGGCCTGGTCCCCTTCCTAGGTGGAAGAGGATCAGATAACCATGGCTAATTAGCTGCTGACATACAAATGGATACTGTCTACTGAATCCCCTCTTGAGGCACCTAAGCTAGTGGCTGTTGGAGCACCAGGTGGCAGTGAATTCCACAAGTGTCATGGAGCTGAGCGGCTGTCTCCTAACACCGTAGTGATCCTTGGCCAGATGGGAAAGGAATCACCAACACGCCTGTTCCAGCTGGTTGAAACCGGAGGAGACCAGGGCCCTGCGGGACCTTACGCAATTCCGCAGGGCCTGCAAGACGGAGCTCTTCCGCCAGGCTTTTAAGTAGGAGCCGCCACTGCCGCTATACCATCACCGCATAGCCATCTGGCAACGTGAACTGGCCTGGGAATGAGAACGGACATGGGGAAGACCGATCAAGAATGAGGCAGTAGCGCCACCTGAAACATTGTATTAGAGCCCCCCGCCTCGGATGTTATTATGTGAGCACTGGTTTTAAAGGTAAAACGTAACTTGACTGTTTTATTGGTTTTATCGTTGTGTATGCTATTTGCCTCCTGTTAGCCGCCCTGAGCCCAAGTGGAAGGGCCGGGATATAAGTTTAATAAATAAATAAATAAAAATTGAAAATGCCATGGTGGTTGGTGTCCAAACCTGCCGGGAGGTCCAGCAGTCACAGTCTTTCTCCTGGTAGAAGTAGTCAGGGGCTTAATTTGCATGTCACATGAACACAGGAAGCTGCCGTATGCTGAATTGGACCCTTGGTCCATCAAGGTCAGTATTGTCTACTCAGACTGGCAGCAGCTCTCCAGGGTCTCAGGCAGAGGATCCTTCACTCTTCCTGCCACCAGATCCTTTTGAATGGAGATACTGGGGATTGGACCTGGGACCTTCTGGTAGCAAAGCAGAGGCTCTGCCACAGAGCCACAGAACCAAAATTTGTTAGGGGCTGGTAGCTGTTGGTGCGCGCGCTCACTCTGTCCGTTCCCTTGTGTGGCAGCCTGAGATTGGAAGTTGCTGGAGACTTCCATTTGGGGCGAGGTCCAGAGCCAGGTGCCCTAAGGGACTGGGGTGTTGATTTCTTGGTTAAAGGGGTCGTTTCGTAGAAAAAGAGCTAGGGGAACTCATTAGCATAACTCATTAGCATATGCCACAC